AACAGGTATCAGAGTAGCCTGACCTGAAGGTGGAAACATCTCACATGAGAGAGCAGCCGGTGACCCTCCCCCTTGGTTCTGCCCTGTTTTCACCCCAGCCTTGCTTCCTTGTCTGTGCCCAACAAATGGTGAGGATGAAGCTGGCTGATGGTGTATTAAGAGCACAAAGACACAACCCAAGGAAGCATGTTAGTTGCAGGAGATCACTAGAAGAGTAAGGCCCCAAACGACAGCTGCCTCCAAAGTGGACTCAATATGTGCAGCACGTGTGGCACTGGATTATAATTTGTTGTGACTGGTAGGAGGTGTGTTTCTTCTGAGTCAGTGGAAGTTGTAGATGTGGGAACACCCGTGGTGATACCTGCCGGGTCAGCCAGAAAGTTGAGTGTGGAGCATCTAGCTTATGGAGGCAGTCTAGGCTGGAAGGTGAATTGGCGTTTTTTTTATGCAAAGAATGTTTCTTTTGTTGGGTTGGTTTTTGCTTTTTGTTTTTACTACGACCAGTTAAATATATCCTGTTGATTAAGGATAAGACAATGTTTCTACCAGAAACTCATAAAGAAAGCCACTAAATAATTTGCCAGGAGTTTTTTTTAAAACAGGCAGTCTCTTGAGAAGAAAAGTCTAGGACTAAATTAGCAAGAATGCCGCAGGTCAGGTTTGAAGTACTGCATGGTGACAGAATTGTTTGGCAAGATTTGCCTGGAGTTCTCTTTGATTACAGCCATATCCCGCAAACGCTTGCAGAAGGTGCAGTTCCTGCTCATCTGAGTTGTTCTTCTGAAATCACCAGGATTATTTAAGTGAAAAGTGCTTTTCCCTAAGCAAGAATTTTCAGGGTCTTTTTCTGAGTAGTGAGCCTAATTCAAGCAGGCCTGGCTTATTAATAAACGTTTAACTGAAATGCTGCTAGCCAGAATAGCATATAACAATCACTTCACAATATCAAACTTTTGTTTAAAAAATGTTCTAAAATAAGCATAGACAATATGCTTGGATGAAAATTCATGATAGCCTTTTCATTAAATGGTGTATTTTATCTTTCATAAGAGATTCCAATCAAATTATTTTTTTATAGCTATAAATCAGCAGTTTGGTTCTATGATGATTTTACTCCAGTTCTTACAGTACTTCTGTTTGTTTGCCTGTGAAGAAAGGTGGCACGGAGATTATTATAACACGGAGGGCAGCCAAATATAATCAGACATTTTAGCATAATGCTAATTTTGTTTCATGACAGAAAACGGAGCACAGAATTTAGCTTGATCCAACTAAAACCGGAGCAAAATTGTATTTATTCATTCAGACAGAATATTTGCATTTGTAAATGTATAGGAAGCTTTGATTAACGTTATATCAAGCATTTTGTTTCCTCTGTTCCTCAGTTCTCACTTCTCTGTCAGAATGGATGTGATGAACATATCCAAGTTCAAAGGAAGTCTGAAACACAGGCAATGTCTGAGAGTCCATGAGATACTTACGGTTGTGAGCCTGAGGAGTTTGCGTACTACAGATGTTGAGGCAGCTCTGGTCAAGTTATGCATCCATTAGCTGTGGGTCCTTTAACAGTTGTGATTCCACAGGGTTAGCCACTGTATGTCCTGAGTCTAGGTTAAAAGGTCTTTTTCTTCTGTGTGATTGAGAAGTTCCTGCCTTCTCTTTTTTCCAGCCTTTGTCTTCTGTGTCTTTCTCTGGGAATAGATTTAAGATTAAGGTAATACAAGGGTTTATAAACCTTGTCTAACAGATAGATTCTGATAAAACCCAGTCACTGAAGTTATTGTTGTAATATACAGAAAGGAAGAAAAGTTCAGAAGTCTGTTTGAAGAAGTAACGTCAGTCCCACAGGTGGGACACGGAAGTCTAATACCATAGCAGTACACGAAGGGGAGGGCAGAACCTAGCAAACGCACTGCTCTGAGCCTCTGGGCCTGCATGTGGTATAGCAGAGTGTTTAGGACCTCTTAAGGACCCAAGAAAAAAGCTAGGCCCATGCTATTCTGTTGAAAATAATGAAGGTGCCGGAGACTGGCAGAAGAATATGATTCTCAACTATACAACCGAAACAGGATCAAAAATAGTGTGGTCGTAGGATCATGCAGGAGAGAAGTCATATTAGAAGCAGAAAAGCAGCTTTTTTTTCCCCTACAGAACATAGGTAGTTGAAGAAGTCACTTCCTCTGGGCAAAAGGAGGGTTAATCAATGATTTATTTATTCATTTTGACATTTTGGACTGACACGTGGATTTCTGTTTTATTTAAAATGTAGTCAGGGTGAGATGGTTGCCTGAAATGTCTGCCTTTTGGCCATCCAAATGACAGTGAGATGAGCCTGAATGCGTGGTGTGAAGTTGACAATGTGATAAACCATACTCTGATATCCTGATATAGAAGGCTGTTTCTTGGACTAAAATGATTTTATTTTTTCTTAGGTAAGTTGGTTTAGCATCCCAGCACAGTACCTGTAATTAGTTTCTAGTTAAGTAAAAAACTAAACCAACCAACCAAACAGATTAAAAAACCCCACACCCAAACGAAAACATATATTTATCTATACCAAGTGCTTAAGAATCCACAACAGCTTGAAGACACTACGTTTGTTTTAAAAAGTTGGCAAGTCTGTTGCTGTTTGAATGGCTGCCTTTTTCAGCAGTGGGTTGTGTTGTTGAACAGTTTTTCACTCTTAACTTAGAAACTGATTATGCATCCACTGAGCATAAAAATTTATAGTGAGAGAAGTCCAATCAATGTTTATATAAAAATGCACTAGAGCCAATGCCAAAGTGTCATAGTTTTGTGAAGCTATACAGAGGGTCCTGGCATGTGGACTGCTTGGTTAGATTCACTCCTCTGTGACCCAGACAGTTTTTAAAGTTTAAAAATCTTCACTTTCACTTGAAAAAGCTTTCTTGAATACACAGTAAGTAATGCTTTTAGCTCCTCAGCACATAGCAAAAAAGAAGTCCAAGTACAATTTGAAAAACTATGAATCTTTTAAAATTTCAGAAGCTCCTTACAAGAATTAAAACAACAAGGAGATCATGAGTGATATGGTGGAGTTTTCTGCTCTGCTTTCTGCAAGGAATCATGCAGAGTGCCCCGTGTCCCTTGGGAATGGAGTAGCTGTACTGCCTGACTTCAGGTGTTCATGTGGGTGATCTGAATCTTCCCCTGCAAGCCCTTACTTCTTCCTCTTGACTCCACAGGAAATTTAGGCTCCTTAATCTCAGTCTTTCACTTGCACCCTACTTGCAGACCAAAAGTCTCAGTGACATCATCTTCAGGTCCCCTCCAGCCATCTTCTGTGCCCATGCTGTTAAAATTGGAGGTGGTGGGAATGAGGTGCTGTAATTTATTAAATGGCCAAACTGAGTCTTATCTGATGTTGCTAGTTAAGGTAATGCATAGCAAACAGCCATATCCTGTACATTCTGCCCAAGGCTCTCTACCTAGAGTGTATTCAGAAAGTGGTGGGGTATGTTTAAAGAAAGAGTAGATCTGGACTGGGCCCACTCTCTTATACTCTAAGCTGGCCAAGCAGCACTCAGTGCCATGATTTCCTGGTGTCAGCAGTTAATTCCATTTTGTGTTGTTTCGCAGTTCTGATGCCATTTGTGTGCACCAAAAGCTCAGCTTGCGTACAGGCAGCCCTGTAGCTGGGTTTGCCGTTTTCCCAAGAAGTGCGTACACACATAAACCACTGCAAAAGTGGTATAACTGGCGTTTTCAAATCAGATTATTTTCTGTAGGTGAAGGTTGCAGTTGTACATTTCTGAATAAAATAAAATACTTCAGTGTGTGAAATTTCTGATTTTTCTATTCTTTGAATTTCTGAAGAATCAGGTTTTACGCCAAACCCATTTTTATGGCTGTATGTTGATTTTCCTAGGCAGAGTTGTAGGAGGTGACTCGATTCTGTGATCATTTTGTCTATCGTGCCTGCACATAGCTTTGAAAGAAGATAAGTGTCAAAAGTATAATGTAATCTGAGTGCAATTTATGAAAATGACATGTATGAGAATGTTTTAGGAAATCAGCATCGTTTAGATGGAGCTGAAAAGATTCTGAATTCTGTCATCATTTTAAGGATCTTGGAAATGAAGTGCAAAATATAAAGTAATGTGGATCTGTGAAATCCTTGATGTTATGTCGTATCATGAAGCAAATGGATGTCTGCAGAAGCTCTAACAAGGCTATTTTGGTCATCTTACTATGTTATTTCTTAATGCATATTCTGTTGCTGTTAAAGATATGTTAAATTACATTAAATGAAACTTTTCAATGACCTAGCATAAAACAAGTCCAATCAGAGTGCAAACAATGCTGCATATTTTCCTAAGCATTCTGAAGTAGGTTGCAACAATCCCACTGACTGTGTGTGTTCAACTTTTCTACCTGCATCATTAAAAAAAACCACTTTTAGCATTTACAGTTGTAATTAAAGAGATCACCTATTGGAACACTAAGCCTGTCACAATTTAGTTGTTTTAATGAAACAATAGTTACATTGAGTAGACCTTTTTTAACATCATTGAAATAAAACGTGAATGTCATCACTATTATTTATTTATTGAAATAACTACACCAGTTTTTGTTGTTTGATGTTTGTAAGGTTAGTTGAGCTAACTGTTTAGTTAAGAAGATTCACTCCCTGTCTTTTTAGACTATTGTCCTACAAATGCTTATATAATCTACTTGACATATATGTGTAGCAGGGTTTCAATTAAATGAATATTGATGGATAGCAAGGTTTCAGGGTTTCAGTTAAATGAATATTGATGGAACTATTACCTTATAAAATAATCAACCAGAGATTGTTTTAGTTTTGTTATTGTGGGATACCAAATGCTTTATTGGGACTTAACAATTAAACATGTATGCACAGACTTCCAAGTTTTTAATCTGTAAAATTAAATGTATACTAACGTGTGATATCTATGTATGAAATCTGCAGATACTAAGAAAAAGTGCAATATTAATGCTATATTTTTATTTTGTAGCTTGGATCATCCTCCTCTGTGCCTTTTACATCTATATTCTCGCAGCTGTTTATGACTGTTGTAGTCCCCCTTATTATTGGACAGGTATGTCTTTTAAATATACATTCTTATTTAAAAAAATAAGATATAGAGAGCTGTCTTAAAGACAGACTGGCAACCTGATAAGCTGCCACATAGGAACAGCCTCAGGATAGTGAAGTCTAATATCAGAGAAAAGAGGCTACAGTGCTCCCTGGAGCCACATTGATCTTTGTTGAGATTGAGCATCTGTCCCTCACTTCCACAAACATACGCTACTGCATATCGAGAAGGGAGTTTGCGAGCATAAAGTGGGAAAAATGGCAACCCAGACTGTGAGAAATTCCAGCCTCATACAAATGAGCTAGGAGAATACTATATAGTCCTTATGCCACGTGCCCTTTGCCTGGATGATGAAGTTAAGTTCTCCCTATGCAGTATGTACTACTAATTACAAGAAGAAAAAATTCTCAACATTAAAAAACATATAAGGGCTAAGCAGTCAGAAGTTAAGAAATCATAAAATTAAGACTGCTCGACCCGTTTTGCGTATGCTATACAACAAGGGTTTTAATTGCACAATTGCAAGCTATTCTTTCTGTGTGACTCCTCTATCATTTGTTACACTGGTTGGAGGGTATTCATGGGATGAGCAGCTGTTCGATGTTTCATTTTATACTCATTGTTCATATTGTAACACAAGGCGTTATTTTTCATGGCGTGTGATAGATATCTTTCACTGGATGTAAAGATACTAATTGCAGTATAAGATTTGCTGTGCCACTTGTCTCTGTAGTATCTGTTTTTTTCACAGATGTTAATATTAATTACTTTTTTCTTCCACATCATGCTGGGAAATTGCTATATTAAGACCAAAAGTTGTCAGAAGTGTCCACTATTCTTGGACGCCAAATCCTCCGTAGCCTAATTCTTACATACTTGTAAGTATTCGTTGTTCTCAGGCATTTGGAATGCATGAAGGGAATAGCAGTGGGATTTACAGTTCATTCCCAAGGGGTACCGTTGCTGATTCTAGCATCCAGTTTAACTCAAGGTTCAGCTGGAAGTTTCTGAATTTTGTCAGCCCAAAGTAGACTTCAAAGTGCAAAACATAGTTAAAATGTAAGTGAATGAAAGTGAAGTCTATAAAGGAGTACCCTGGATAATAACTGTCACTGCCTGTGCTATGCAGAACAGCCAATCAGTCTTGTATCAAACTATGATTGCACATTTCAAAACTGGCGTGTTCTCTAACCTACCAAAGTCCTAGTGAAGTTTGTTTCATATGTGATCAAAAAGTCCCATTAAAGTCTAATAAGAAGATGAGCATGATGAGCATGACAGTAGCCACCAGCATCAGTACCTGCGTAACCTGGCTATAACCATACCATGTGGAAAATGGACATAACCTCTGTGTCCCTGAAGGCTATTGAATTGCTCACGTGCTTCGAGTTAAATGCCTAAGAATCTCCACATTAACTAGGACCACACAGGGTTGCTGATGAACCTACCTGTGTATCACATTCTTCTCGTCAAATTAAGTCTCCACCAAAAGTGGTCAAGCAAAAGTACTTGAATCCTCTCATCCTGAAAGGTCCAAAACCTGGAAGCTATTAGTGGGAAACCTTAGCTGGAAATTTCTAGGAAACAAATAGCATGGCAGCAGATGTAGCAATAAAGTAAGCTACAGTGATGGAGTATCAGCAATCTGTACTGCAATGTAATAAGTCTGAAGATAATGGTAGATTGCTAGACAAAGTGACTGCAAAATTTCAAGAGGACTTTTATCTATATATATAATGGCGTGTTACTTTGGAAAGATTTCACAAGAAATTGCTGTGTGAGCTAACTGGTGGAACTGGGGGTATTTTTGGCTGCACCAAATAATAAGGCTAAGTAATGTGAATTGCGTAGTAAGCATATGAAGTAATGGCTCTGAATGATCATAAGTTCAAAATCAGAAATGTGATGAGACTTAACTGAGAACAGATGTGATTTAGGAGTTCACATAAAGACAAAGAAAAAATAGAGAATCTTAAAGCTTGTATAACTCAATCACAGTTTTATTTAAGAGTTTGGTTTTTATAAATGCATTTCAACAAGAAATAGGGTGATTCTCCTTTGAAGGGGTTTGATGTAATTTCTGGAAATGAATGGTCAACAGAAGTAGCTCACATTTCTCTAAGCTTAAAGACTTTGTTTCTAAAATTATTGCACTTCATTATATCTATTTGGAGGATATGGAAGAGACGAAATGCTAAGGATAGCTGCAGATCAGAAATGCCAGGGGCGGTTTATGTTGATTGTCTTGATTAGGTAGAACTGTCAAAGTGAAACCAACCTGCCCAGGTAGGAATAGAAGGTATTTTTGAAGGTGGATATCCAAAAATAACTTTCAGTAATCAAGAGAAAAACAATAAGCAAGAAAATAATTGGCACCAAAAGATACAGTGATAGGTCTGCTTGCCCTTCATCTGGAGGTGGCGTGGGTCCGTTCCAATTAAATGGGAAGTTGTGCCTTTAGTGCGTAGACCACTGCTCACTAGTTACTGAACTGTTGCACAACATGCGGCACAGCAACTTAACGCTGCTTTGTGAATCACAAGTTGCTCACTCTGGATTCCAGATGCATTAAGAGATAATGGCCTACAATCCAGGAATGATGGTGTTAGCAATTACTTCTAATTTATAATGTCATGCCCTCAGTGTTGATTCCTTACCATGCACAGTCATGCTGTTCAGCAGAAAAGTCGGTGGAAGAATGCGTGGTAAGGTTGCCTGATAACAAAGAGCTTGATTGGGAAAAAAACGAGCTTGGAACCTGCCTGCTTGGAGGATTGCTTCTCTTCAGCCTTCCTAACTCAGCTGTGATCAACAGAGACTTTAGGCTCAAACCACGTCAGCGTCAAACAGAAGAGGATGCTTAAAGCATTCTCCAAGGGCTTTATTTTCCTTTAAAAAAATCTCGCCTCTGGGAAAACCTGTGTTGCCTAAACGCTCATTTCCTGAGCAGGCTGCAGAGCTGGCTGTTTGAGCAGCCCCTGGGATATGAGCAAAGCAGACGAGAAGGTGCTTTTAGATTTGTTTTGGTTGGGGTTTTTTGTTTGCTTTATGGCAAAACTTATCAGGAGTTTCGGTTGCTTGGCTGACTTGTTAGAATTTTTAATGATGACTGGGATAAAGAAGTCTCAATAGTGTAATTGATGCTTATTTTCTACTGTTTCTCGAACAATTTTTCAGTGTGGTAAGACTGCTGTTGACAGGAGTCAAACACACTTTTCTAGCTGCTGACAATGAAATGTGTCAGGGGCTGCAGGTACAGGCTCTGCTCAGGGTGGTGGCTGCCATTTGTTAGGTAAAGAAAGAACTGTTAAAGGAGGAGGGAAATACTATGTTATCGGAAAGGCACTGAGTCGCAGAGATAGCAGGTACTGGTAGGTGGAGTTCAGTAAGGAGAATCACACTGTTCTTTGTCAGAGGTATGCAGGTTGTCTAATCCAAAAAAAACATTCTGGCCTGCATTCTTTGTGTCTACAGATGTGTTTTGCTGATTGACAGTATGATGTCACTCAAGTCAGTATTCATAGTGTAATACTGTATTTGTATTTATAGGCTAATGAGTAAGACCTCTCTGACAGAGGGTCTTGAATAGAGACATAATCTATGGTATTTTATAAAGATCTAATGTTCTATAAGCCTTGAAGATCTGTAGCGTGTAAGAGCTTCTTATTTGTGCACCACTCTTCTGTATGTCTAAGGGGAATTTGAGGATACTCGTTATACGATAAACATGGTAATAGGTATTTCACAGAAAAGATTTTTGAATTTGCTCTGGCAGCTTGAAGTTCTGATTATTTTTTTCCTGGGTAGCAGAGTTCTGATGAAGATTACTGCTCCTAAGCTGACGTGATTTTGCTAAAATAATTGTTTCCTTGTCTGTAGATGTTGGTAATACTTTTAGCCAGCAAAATGTAAGGTTTCGAGAAATGTCTAAGCAGTACCTTCATGACCAGTTATTAGATTTGGCTGAAGACTGTTGTTTCATTGCTTATTTTTTTCTTCTGAAGTGACAGATAACAGGAACAGTGAAAACCACTGCAATATTTCCTTTCCACTTTTTGCAGACTTTCTCCATTCTCTACACCTAAGTGCTTATGACAGACTTTTATTTTGTTTTATATTAAAGAGCGATTTATGATTAAATGTTAATGAAATAGAATTTTCACTGTGCTTTCATTATATTCTACTAGTTTGAACATTTTTCAAAGCAGCACACCAAAACCCACTGTTTTCTATGAATAAATAATAAAAAGCTTGTCTGTACATTATCATTCATGCATTCTGTAGTTGCCCCATCGGTAATTTGTCTGCGAGTGTAAAGTGGGTACTTCACATTAACAGACCTGAACTAAAGCTAAAATTGATGTTATGATTCTAAGTAGTTCTTCTTCCCAAATCTATAATATGAAGCTAGTTGTACAGAAATCCTTGCTGAATCTAGTCACACAAAAAAATCTTCATGTCCTACAAGTACAGGTAAAGGATTTTACTTGCCTTCTGCATCATTGCCCAAAATGTTCCAGAGGAACCCTATCAGCATTTGCTTATAAACACAACTCTAAGAGTGCTATATTGCAATACAAGTTGTCAGTGAAATTGAAACTAAAAAGCATAGCAATGGGTTTATTTTTAAAGAATAAGAAATTAAAAGGGAAAGGTAGGTGGCAGTTGTTAAGGAGTGGAAGGTACTCTTCGCCTAAGCTTAATGTTAGTTTATAGTGGGTGGGTGGAGGAAGCGATAGTTAAAGAAACTGTTATAAAAAGAGAACAGTGTCAGATGCTTTTGTTCTTGTAACTTAAATCCACATGGAGGTAGCTCTGCTTTCTCTTCAAAGTCCAGGGTGGCTGCAGGGAGAAGGAGTGGTACCCTGGGAGATGAGCGCTTCTCGAAGCTTGTTACGGAAAACCGAGATGGCAGATAAACAGCCTTCAGACCACAGTTCGCTCCCTTCTGATGCTTGACTCAGGGAACAGAATCCAGTCTCCACAGAAATACAAAATACGAA